GTTTTTTAAGACCCTTAAAGATCAAACTCACGTCAGACAGGTCTTAGAAAACACTCTAGGAGCTTTTACCAAGAATTAAAAATACTTGTGTTTTTGCTTTGATTTGTCGTGAGTCTGTTGAACCCGTAGAACAGAACCTCATAATTATTTAGAGACAGGTAAAACTGTACCAGGAGAGTTTGCCCATGTTTCTCTTCAGAGACGGGATCAGCCTACCATGTGGTCCAAGCAATTTGGGATTAGCAGGACCTCACAAGCTAGACATAATTAGTCACATTTATAAACAAAATTGATAAGATTTTAGCATTAAAACCAAATCAAGTCTAAGCAGGACAAAAGAAAATCTCCAGCAAACTTCCAACACGAAAGAAGTGGTTTTGTTTTAGAGTTGGACTAATCTGTTACATGTTCCAGTCACTATTTTTAGAAAAAGGACACTTTTGGTTTAGCTATAACCCAATAACGAACCAAACAGCGATTTTATTTCACCATTCAGTGGTTTCACTTCTCACTAAAGATGCGACCACCTCTGCTGCCATCTCTGACTTCAGTAGGCCTAAAAAGCACAGCAGGATGCAGCCACATTTGTGGTTTGATCTGCCGCCCAACAGAAAGTCATTGAGCAACAGCTAAAATCAGAAACAAGAAAGAAGACAGCATCATAACCATGTATGATAACAAAGTGTCTGACATTCTTTTGGCCTTGGAAAAGCATCACATGAAGCCGAGGTGAGCCAGTGGCAACTGGCAGCACTTGAATGAAGAGGTGGGAGCACGTGAAAAGAAGCTGGGGGGGGGGGGGGGGGGGGGGGGGGGGCTGTTTTACAAAATTGAGCCTGGCCTTTTCTTATGCTACCCCTCAATTTCCTAACAAAGTGTTGCGTGTAAAGGCCGAGCACACAAAGCACAGGCAAATCCATGGCCACACCTGACAACAAAACAACCAACATGCAAACAAACGTGCAACCTATCTGGAGTCCCAACACATGGAGTCATCCATCAACGCTCAGTTTATTCAAATGTAGCGCTGACTGACTTAAAAGAAGCATCATCATCAAAAACCTGAAACTTGTCTCTTTCCGGTGTTGCTTCTCCAAAAAGCAACTGTGTGTGTGTGTGTGTGTGTGTGTGTGTGTGTGTGTGTGTGTGTGTGTGTGTGTGTGTGTGTGTGTGTGTGTGTGTGTGTGTGTGTGTCTGATAGGGTCCGACCGATATATTGACCGATATTGGGGTCATTAACAGTATCGGCTATTGGCCAAAAAAGACGGCCGATATGGCCGATACTGCGCTACCGATCCAGCAGATGGCGCCAGCTTTATGAACTCATGTTGTGTGTAGGGTTGTCACGATACTAAAATTTCAAACTCGATTCGATACTTGGGAAAAAACTTGATGCTCGATTTCGATACTATTTAAAAACACCAATTTATTGAACAAGTTTATTCAAAAAATAACATTCCTCAATTTATATTGCAAAAATGAAATGTTAAGAATTAAGTGTATTAAGTGCTTAAACCTTTCAAGTATCAGCATTTTTTAAAACGTGCATACAAAAACTGGCGAAAGTTAACACTTTAAATCATGAATTGTCTCACTATACATACACTATTTGCCGAGTGATGTTTTGCTGCTTAAACTCTGTTTAAGGTGCATTTTTGTCATAAGATGTAATGCCATATGTTTTGTTCTGTACTTTTGAACAACTCTGTTGGTCAATAAAGGGAGAAAACGAATTTCTCCACAGTAGGACAAAGGTACATCTACCGGTAATTTTAATAAAAACAGATTGGCACATGGCAGTGACGTCATTAAAAGCGCCGGTTAATTAGCCGCAGCTAGTCTGTTTACGCCTAGAAATCCCAGACTCGCTCCAAACGAACAGAGGAATCGCGTTAATGATTCCTAACAAAACCTTCCGACATTGAGATGTTTTGGTGCAGATAATGTCTTATTTTGAGGCTGCACCATGGGTGCCCGTCCGCACCCGTTACATGGATCTGAAACGATTCCTCGAGTACCTCGAATAATTCGAGTACAAAAAATCCTCTAGTCAAATTCTCTGCCTCGAGGATTCGTTTAATTCATATTTAATTAATTCATGGCTTTGCAATCGCCTGGGGTCATGTTTCACCCGGACCGAAATAAGTGACGCACATGCCCACTGGACTGAATGCACACGCGAGTAGCGAATGTAACTTAACTTTCTCTTAAGCCATGGCGCACAACTTGAACCCCGGTGGAGTGCGAAAAAGACAGAAAATGTCAAAGTTGTGGAACCATTTTTCACGTCGTAAGGTGGAAAGCGTAGTCCAGTATAAATACAGTAAAATGGATTTAGCCTAGCACAACACCACATCCTCCGTGCTGCAGCACCTGTAAATGTCACTTCTGCAAGCGGACTCGGAGCCTCTACAAGATAATGCATTTTAGCCTGTTTTTCTATATATTCTGCGGACTCTGCGACTTTTTCGTTTGTAGCGCTCAGTTTCAGCTCACACCGTACATCTGGTAGCAACACGTCGGACTTAAAATGTGCTAAAAATAGCAGTTTTTACACAACACGTCGGACTTTTTATTGTGTTATTGATGTCTGTTGTCCCTCGGGGTTTCTGCAGGAGGACACGGGTCTTTATGAGTGGCGGAGGAAAACGAAAGAAAGTAAATAAATGTTTTGTGATCAGTATAATTTGACAAAACCACAGCAAACATGCTTTTGGCAATCCTTGTTAGTGTGAGAAAAAAAGTGTGGAAATTAAAACGGACGTGTGTTAATAGGGAAACAGCCGGCGAGCTGTTTGCGCCGTGAGCGGTTCTGGTTCTGTTTGGGCCGCAGCCGCTCGCAGCTATCCTCCTAGTTTTTGTCTGACTTGCAGGCTAGCAGATTCTCACATGAGGGGAAAATCGGCTCAGGTTGTTTACTTATTTTTTGCACAGGCATTTGTTTACTGTGAAGTAAAGTTGAAGTGCTGAAGTTATGCAAACTAATTTTGAATAAAACTTGAATAACTGGCAATTGCTTGCTCATTTTAAGAGGTCTTTCATAATTATAACATGCTATTTGATATCAAATCAAATCACTTTTATTGTCACGTCACATGTGCAGGTACACTGGTACAGTACATGCGAGTGAAATTCTTGTGTGCGAGCTTCACAGCAGTAGAGTTGTGCAAAAATACAGTAATGTAAAAACAAGTAAAATATAAAAATGGCTAATCTAAGTATACAAATGAATAAAGTAAACAATAAGATAAGAGATATAAAATGTACAGAGGTTGGTATGTGCAAAACAGTGGCATTAATGTACAGTATGGAGCGTGTAATGTTGGAACTTGGTGGAGCTCGCGACGAGGCAGCCATACTCGGCGCCATCTTGGCTCATCAATATATGATATAAAGGTTTACAAACACAAAAGGGTAATTTATTAGAGTACTCGATTAATCGAAAAAAAGATTCGATAGAGTACTCGATTACAAAAATATTCGATAGCTGCAGCCCTAATGGATATACACTGATGGCGATTCGCCGATGGATCTAAATACCCCGGGGAATCCAAGTAGCACCAAAGTTGTCAGCGTGAGTAAACAAACGTACTGCATGCTAGAAATTAAGTCCGGGTTGCAATAAACGGGAGTTTTCCTTTAAGCACATAAGCGTGAATATACAACTACGTGTCGGACTTGATATGCTAATTAAGTTGGGCTGTGAAGCGCCTCCCAAATTCGCTGTTTATGTTTTTGTTTATTTATTTGGCAGACAAAACTTGGATCGGAGACAACTTGCGTGGGAAATTGCAATGTAGCCATGCAGCGTCTTCTTCTCTTTGTCTGGGAGGCGGAGGCTGCTTTACAGCATCTGGCTGTCGTGCGTGTCGGTGTACTTGAAGAAGGCTGTGTATAATATTCCATAATATCGATACCACAGGGATGGAATATCTAATTTAGATACCACTTTTAGTATCAATTTATATCTAGGTATCGATTATTTTGACAACACTAGTTGTGTGGCTCCACTCCTTTGAACTTTGAACACAAATTACTGTTTTGGAACTGTTTTTTTTATTTATTCTTATTTATGTTTCTTATGTGCAAGTATTTCCTGTCCAGGGTGAATAAGTTCACCAAGTGAACTTCCACAGAGTGTTACTTTGTTACAAAGCACACATATTATGTTTAATTTATTGCTACATTTTTATTATTTTAATATTCTTACAGGGACCTTCTGTCCCTAAACGTGTGTGTTGTTAGATTCCCCAGAGTTAGCTAAGTCAGAAAAAACATGTTGTAACCAGTTGTTTTAGCATAAAGCAATGGAAGGGAAGGCTTGCATTCACCTACATAAAAAACACTACAATGTATGTGAATTCACTTACATTGTTTTATGCTAAACTAAGAAAACCAACTGCTGCCAGATCGTATTGGGCTGGTTATAAAATGCTTTTTCTGACTTGTCTAACTCTGGGGAATCTTAACAAGACACAACTTTACTGAGTGGTGGAATATTCCTTTAAGTTAAAATGTATTTGTGGAAACCACAGTTTACAAGAAAAAACTTCAATGTTAGATTTATGCTGTGACTGAGTTTGTGTGTTCTGTTGTTTTAGAGATCTGCTAAATAAATCTTATTTGCATTACTTGGAAACCGTAGTGAGTTATTGAGACAGTTCTTTGGTGTGTAATAGAGAAATAAGTTTGCATCAAAAAGGCAGAGAATGAAGGGTTTAAGCATAAGAACATTTTTATTTCTTTTTTTGTGAGGGAGATTTATCGGCCATTATATCGGCCTTTGTTAAAAGTTTTATATCAGTATCGGTCCCAAAAAAAGCATATCGGTCGGGCCCTAGTGTCTGATGATCTAACTGATCATTAGCAGAACAAAAAATGATACAAAACCACAGGAAGCAACTGAGGTTGTATAAAAAACATTGCACAAACATTTTAAAAAGTTGAGCGTTTTTAATATTTATGCAACACAAAAACAGAGCGTGCACAAACTGACTCACCTCGTTAGGCGCTGTGGCTGAGGGCGCTCCCCGAACTTCCTGCAAACAAACAGCAAAGAGAGAACTTCAGTGGGCCACTTATTAACTACAAACAGAGTAAACACAAAGCGACGCATGACTACATGCACACTAATCCCCCACCCTGGCCTTGACGGACACGCGTCCAGGTTGACTTCCTGAACTTTAACTAAAACTAGTAAAAAGGGAAGGATGTTGGTGATCCAATTGACAATACCCAGTGTGCAAACACACACAAGAAGTGGTGTAAACATCTTGTGATTAGAGGAACTTGTGTTCACGGGATACCAACAGATTCTTATCACCATTATCTGGGTTTGTACACAGCCTTTCTCCTGTATGACTTAATGAAACTAAACACTACTGTAAATTAAACAAATATTACAGCAACAGAGCTCAAGCTTCATGTGTGCTAAGCCTATTTGACTTGATAATTCAGCTCGACAGACTGATTCATGTACCCACGCCTGCAGACTTTCATGCTGTTTAAACAGGACAGAACACTTCCCCGTAGCTTGACCCATCCCCACTTGGCTGAATGTCTTTAGTCCTATTATTCATTCTGAATAGAAACAAACATCTGGAGTTTAACCCTTATACACTCCTAGTGCATTTTTTTTAGTGCACAAGGGGTAGAAAAGCTAGAAAATCAAAGGATTATACGAGGGTTAAAAGGAACAAATGTTATTTTTTGAGTGCCAATGTTCTGAATTATGGGTATCTGCTTGGAAGTCCATGTTTGTCTGCTCATCTGGGTCTAGATCACGGGGGCAGCAGTCCTAGCAGGTAAACCCCAGACTAACATCACCCAAACATCCTGATGGTTTCCTGGCTCAGCCTGGAGTTGTGTAAAGGAGTTTTTCCCACTGCGGGGGCACATTTTTCTTCACAACACCGTTTATCGACAACAAGAGGTAGTATATCTTAATTAGCGTTAGCAACATTAGCGGATTTCCCTGAGGCTATTAATGTGAGGAGATTTTCTGTCTCAGTTTAGTGCAGCTCTGTCTGGATAATAACAGGTTGGGCAATTGGACAAAGCTATCAACACGTCTGACAGTTTGATCAGTGTTTTTAATACCTATGAATAAGTGTCATGGATGTCAACATTTCAAATTTCCACATTAATTCAGTGTCCTTTTGGTAAAACTTTATATTTATACAGTATAAAAATTATACATCATAGCTAGGATTCCTGATATTGCAATTATATATGGCAATCAATGATACAACCATGACTATAGACAGTAAATGCCAAACATCAAACCACTCAGGAATTCAAAACAATATCTATCTCATCATGCAAAGCTGCAAACACGGACAGAACAAAGCCACCATCAACAAGAATGGTCTTCCATCCACAAGGGTCCAATTAATGTTCTTTAGTAAAATTGCTAGTCCACAACAAGTCTTCAGTCCACAAGGAAACATATTTTCCACTGAAAACATTTGAAATTACCCACGTCTCCTTCTCATTAAAACACTATTAGTATTCTCAGATTACCTTCAAACCTTCGATCAACATCTTGATCCCACAGATGATGGGTTATCCCCTCTGCTGAGACAAAACTGTCAGCTACTGGCCAACAGGTCAGAAGTACCGCCCACTATTATGTGCATAGCTCGAACAAACTGCGGTGCAGTATTTTGTTCATTAGTGCCTTAAATAGTCAATGAAATCCAGAAAACATCAAAGTTTCAGCGTCTCTGAGTTTTTGTGAAAAGTGCTTTATAAAACTTGTGTATTATTATTAATAAAGTCTCCCATGGATGCCTTGTGGCCTGCTTCCAGAAACTGAGTAAGAATGGTAAGGAATGTAGGGTCGCTACATGTAGTGTGTCAGGTCCACAACATGTCTAAACAACCGTGTAAAAATATAGACCATCGACTTTAATTGAACTGATAAAACATTACTTGGAAAAGGTTTTAGTGGTCTAGTGGACCAATCACAGCGCTCTATCAGTTTGGTGGGCAGGATGATGTGATGGGGCGGAACAACTAAGAATCTCAATGACTCATTTGACACAGTTTTGGCATCAACTTTGGACTGTTTTTACTTGGACTTCTGAGTCAAGAGCAGATAGAGGTACTTAAGTATTTTATTTGCATCTTTTTCCACAGGTAAACTGCCCCATTGATTGACATCCATAGCAGTGATTACGTCACGTTGTTTATTGTCCAATAGCATGCAAGACAGTTTGAAAGACAACTTTAGATTCCACCCCATAACTGAGCTGTCTCTATTGGTCATGGCCATCCTATATATTCACCTGTATATGATGGCTTTCCAGGCTACAACCTTTTATTTAAACTATGATTTTGGATTATTATGTGTATATTCTCTGAAAAGTGCCTTGTGGATCTCATGCATATACATAAGCCGGCTTGTTGCAGTATTTCGATCACGACCGCAGATCAAAGAAGCACTATTTCACAAGCAGAAACTCAGGTACTTGTGGGTGAGGTGGAGAAATGAAAGGAAGTGCTTTTGCAAAACAAATAAGAGAAAATCCACAGAGTGGCACAGCATTGCTGAAGCCGTCAATGTTGTGAATTCTTCAGAGAGATCTGTGGCGGACATAAAAAAAAGATCCGATCAGGATTCGAAGACCAGACTCCCGGGTGAAAGTCACATGCGCTAACTAGTCAGCCAAACGGAGATCTCCCTTGTCCAAGTAGCCAGGGCGCATGATCAATCGGGTCACAGTGACAGGACACACACCGTCACAGATGCATGACATTCTGTCTCAATCCGTCCCCCTGCTGATATTCTGAATTCCATATTCTGTGCTTCAGGCTGTGTGTGTGTGTGTGTGTGTGTGTGTGCACGTGCGCTCGTGTGTGTGCGTGTGTGAGTGAGTGCGTGTGGGGGGTCTTGTTCTTTGTGAAAACGAAGCAGTACAAGTGATAATGCTGCAGGATTTCATAATAAATGGCCCCAGGGGCCTCATTTATCAAGCTTGTTTACGCACAAAACGGGGTCGGAAAACTGCGTAAGCAACTTTCCACGCAAACTTTGGGATTTATGAAAGAAAACTTAGCAGAAAAATGTAGGCAACTTTAAGTTGACTAAGGACCTGGCTTACGCACATGTTGGACATGGAGAGCACCTGCAGTGCTGCTGCTGAGAAGATACAATTATGAAATCCTGCAGCATTATCACTTGTACTTAGGGCTGCAACAAACGATTATTTGGATAATCGATTAATCGGATGGGGTCTCGACACGATTAATCGATTAATCGGATTACATGGGGAAATTTTTAAAAACTGCTAGGGAAATGTTATTTCTCTCCTTCCTTCACTTTATTTAACACAACATTATTAGAAAACAGTTCAATAGCAGAAAAACAACATGCCATCACCTAAATTGTCTTATAAGGTGTATAGACAGAGACCCTAAGCTACATCTATCTGTGACCTAAAATGCTTGGTCCAAGTTAAACAGCTTAAGGGCAATTCTCATCTGTTTTGTTTGATCTCATCTGTTGACATTTATTTTAAATGTAATTAAACATAGGCTGTGAATTAATCAAAATTGATCATTATTTCCAAAAATGACTGAAAAAATACCAAATAAAACAAAAGTAAATGAATGCCATCCTCCTTGCGATGATGCCCTGGGCAACTGCCATAAAGTCACATCAAGAAATGCTGCTGATCATTCCAATGATCCCAAATAGACTCACATTAGGCCACATGAAAGCAACTGAACCCAAAAATATATTAACCAGTATATAACTGCACTCTCACACAGCACGCCTGCAGCAACAGTTAGGACTCCTCCCTCCCTTTTAAAAGTGTTTTTGCTTCCGAGGACATTGTGGTTGTAAAACCACATGCTAGTAGTCTGGCCCCGGTGGAATCAACCAGTTTCTGCGGGAATGTGACAGCGGAACCAGGGCCAGATTAACACTTTGTTGTACCCTGGGCAACAATATTCAAGGGCTCCATCATCACGACCCGAGGATCACCATAATGTGGTCACATACAGAATATTTTACTGTAATATGCAGTAAATATACTCAATACTTGAATGCCTGACAACACGTAACCCGCCCAGAGTAACCTTTGACCCACCTCGTGTGGACTGACCAATGAGGAGAGGGTCTTAACTTGAGGCCCTCTCTTCATTGGTCAGTCTGCATGAGACTGACTCTCAACTGACGTTCAGTCGTAGGCAGCGAAGCGTCTCTGTGCAGTGCAAAAGCCCGGGTGGACAGTTTGTTTAATATAGGGTGACCATATTTCCATTTCCAAACAAGAGGACAGGGAATCTGTGCCTATGACGTCACACTATGGCAACGCCACACAAACCACGTTGGGACCCATTTTTTGTAAGAACTAAATTAATATCAGATTCTGCCAATAAAAGAGCTCTAAAACAATTCATATGTAAATATTTTGCATATTTAATGCAAAATCTCATTTTTATGCTTTAGTGCTGCAACAAGGTTTTATTAATAATAAATTATTATACCTTTTGTTTTACTACAGCATCGGTAAGCTTCCTGTGCACAGATTATTAAGGATGCTTGTTTCAGCTGTGAGATTAGACGATAGGATCAATGAAAAAATAAGTTGTCACACACTCCATGAAAACTTTCAGAGAATCCACAAATAGTGGCTTTCAAATGGTTTTGTTACTTTTTGCAAGTTTAGAAAAGCAACAGATGAGACAGCATGTCTGATAATTTAGTTTTTCATCTGATAATATTAGAACATGTCAGTAATGTCTGAGGGGCTTTTATAAACACCGTATAACTAACACTCCTGGAGAGGGTATGAATTACACAGAGGCTTCTGGGGAGCCCAGTTATGGGGGGGGGGGGGCATTTTGCCTTGGCCCCCAAAATGTCTTGAAACGGCCCTGGGTGTGTGACTGAGTTTTGAAGGTGATCTGAATTGTATCAGATGTATAAATATGACATGTGTATAACTTATTGTTTTTTACTGGTAAAAAGGTGTATATGAATCTGCCTACATTTTACTTTTCAACACTTTGTTTTGTTTTCTTGTTT